GAGGTCGGAGGATTCTTCTCAAAATTAAAAATTCTGAGGATTCTTCTCAAAATCTTCTTTAAAAATCCACGCCTAGAGGTCGGAGGATTCTTCTCAAAATCTTCTTTAAAAATCCACGCCTAGAGGTCGGAGGATTCTTCTCAAAATCTTCTTTAAAAATCCACGCCTAGAGGTCGGAGGATTCTTCTCAAAATCTTCTTTAAAAATCCACGCCTAGAGGTCGGAGGATTCTTCTCAAAATTATTGATTTGTTCAAACATTTGGTCGCCACAACTATTTCCAATATTTTTTGTTTTTTGTCCGGTGGCATTATTTGTAGCCAGTATGTATGCTCAAGTGCAGACAGACAGACCGACAAACATTTGACTGAATTAAGAAAATCGAAAAACTTAATGAAAACGTTTTCGATTTTTTGTTCTCCATCTCGCCCACATTTGCCGATTTTTATTGGTTCTGCTGGTTATTAATGTCTTGGCAAATATTTGTGGAGTGTTTCTTATTTTTTTCGTGGAACTGCATTTTTTGTTGTTTCTTAATTTAAATATTGCAGACATCTGGTGTTGGAGGAAATTCCAACAAACATTCTTAAGTACCAAATGGATTTTGAGTTTGGTGGGTGCACACGCCAGCGAATTCATTGATAAACATTGTTCCGAAAATAGATAACAGGCTATACAAAATAATGCAGATTTTATGTGCAACATGAATTCCAGAAATAACAGAGTTGCAGTTAATTTCAATACGAGAAATACAAAAATAAATTTTATTTAAAAATCCACGCCTATTGGTGTAAAGATTGTGTATAAAATTTTATTTAAAAATCCACGCCTATTGGTGTAAAGATTGTGTATAAAATTTTATTTAAAAATCCACGCCTATTGGTGTAAAGATTGTGTATAAAATTTTATTTAAAAATCCACGCCTATTGGTGTAAAGATTGTGTATAAAATTTTATTTAAAAATCCACGCCTATTGGTGTAAAGATTGTGTATAAAATTTTATTTAAAAATCCACGCCTATTGGTGTAAAGATTGTGTATAAAATTTTATTTAAAAATCCACGCCTATTGGTGTAAAGATTGTGTATAAAATTTTATTTAAAAATCCACGCCTATTGGTGTAAAGATTGTGTATAAAATTTTATTTAAAAATCCACGCCTATTGGTGTAAAGATTGTGTATAAAATTTTATTTAAAAATCCACGCCTATTGGTGTAAAGATTGTGTATAAAATTTTATTTAAAAATCCACGCCTATTGGTGTAAAGATTGTGTATAAAATTTTATTTAAAAATCCACGCCTATTGGTGTAAAGATTGTGTATAAAATTTTATTTAAAAATCCACGCCTATTGGTGTAAAGATTGTGTATAAAATTTTATTTAAAAATCCACGCCTATTGGTGTAAAGATTGTGTATAAAATTTTATTTAAAAATCCACGCCTATTGGTGTAAAGATTGTGTATAAAATTTTATTTAAAAATCCACGCCTATTGGTGTAAAGATTGTGTATAAAATTTTATTTAAAAATCCACGCCTATTGGTGTAAAGATTGTGTATAAAATTTTATTTAAAAATCCACGCCTATTGGTGTAAAGATTGTGTATAAAATTTTATTTAAAAATCCACGCCTATTGGTGTAAAGATTGTGTATAAAATTTTATTTAAAAATCCACGCCTATTGGTGTAAAGATTGTGTATAAAATTTTATTTAAAAATCCACGCCTATTGGTGTAAAGATTGTGTATAAAATTTTATTTAAAAATCCACGCCTATTGGTGTAAAGATTGTGTATAAAATTTTATTTAAAAATCCACGCCTATTGGTGTAAAGATTGTGTATAAAATTTTATTTAAAAATCCACGCCTATTGGTGTAAAGATTGTGTATAAAATTTTATTTAAAAATCCACGCCTATTGGTGTAAAGATTGTGTATAAAATTTTATTTAAAAATCCACGCCTATTGGTGTAAAGATTGTGTATAAAATTTTATTTAAAAATCCACGCCTATTGGTGTAAAGATTGTGTATAAAATTTTATTTAAAAATCCACGCCTATTGGTGTAAAGATTGTGTATAAAATTTTATTTAAAAATCCACGCCTATTGGTGTAAAGATTGTGTATAAAATTTTATTTAAAAATCCACGCCTATTGGTGTAAAGATTGTGTATAAAATTTTATTTAAAAATCCACGCCTATTGGTGTAAAGATTGTGTATAAAATTTTATTTAAAAATCCACGCCTATTGGTGTAAAGATTGTGTATAAAATTTTATTTAAAAATCCACGCCTATTGGTGTAAAGATTGTGTATAAAATTTTATTTAAAAATCCACGCCTATTGGTGTAAAGATTGTGTATAAAATTTTATTTAAAAATCCACGCCTATTGGTGTAAAGATTGTGTATAAAATTTTATTTAAAAATCCACGCCTATTGGTGTAAAGATTGTGTATAAAATTTTATTTAAAAATCCACGCCTATTGGTGTAAAGATTGTGTATAAAATTTTATTTAAAAATCCACGCCTATTGGTGTAAAGATTGTGTATAAAATTTTATTTAAAAATCCACGCCTATTGGTGTAAAGATTGTGTATAAAATTTTATTTAAAAATCCACGCCTATTGGTGTAAAGATTGTGTATAAAATTTTATTTAAAAATCCACGCCTATTGGTGTAAAGATTGTGTATAAAATTTTATTTAAAAATCCACGCCTATTGGTGTAAAGATTGTGTATAAAATTTTATTTAAAAATCCACGCCTATTGGTGTAAAGATTGTGTATAAAATTTTATTTAAAAATCCACGCCTATTGGTGTAAAGATTGTGTATAAAATTTTATTTAAAAATCCACGCCTATTGGTGTAAAGATTGTGTATAAAATTTTATTTAAAAATCCACGCCTATTGGTGTAAAGATTGTGTATAAAATTTTATTTAAAAATCCACGCCTATTGGTGTAAAGATTGTGTATAAAATTTTATTTAAAAATCCACGCCTATTGGTGTAAAGATTGTGTATAAAATTTTATTTAAAAATCCACGCCTATTGGTGTAAAGATTGTGTATAAAATTTTATTTAAAAATCCACGCCTATTGGTGTAAAGATTGTGTATAAAATTTTATTTAAAAATCCACGCCTATTGGTGTAAAGATTGTGTATAAAATTTTATTTAAAAATCCACGCCTATTGGTGTAAAGATTGTGTATAAAATTTTATTTAAAAATCCACGCCTATTGGTGTAAAGATTGTGTATAAAATTTTATTTAAAAATCCACGCCTATTGGTGTAAAGATTGTGTATAAAATTTTATTTAAAAATCCACGCCTATTGGTGTAAAGATTGTGTATAAAATTTTATTTAAAAATCCACGCCTATTGGTGTAAAGATTGTGTATAAAATTTTATTTAAAAATCCACGCCTATTGGTGTAAAGATTGTGTATAAAATTTTATTTAAAAATCCACGCCTATTGGTGTAAAGATTGTGTATAAAATTTTATTTAAAAATCCACGCCTATTGGTGTAAAGATTGTGTATAAAATTTTATTTAAAAATCCACGCCTATTGGTGTAAAGATTGTGTATAAAATTTTATTTAAAAATCCACGCCTATTGGTGTAAAGATTGTGTATAAAAGTTTATTTAAAAATCCACGCCTATTGGTGTAAAGATTGTGTATAAAATTTTATTTAAAAATCCACGCCTATTGGTGTTAAGATTGTGTATAAAATTTTATTTAAAAATCCACGCCTATTGGTGTAGAGAAAAATTTTATTTAAAAATCCACGCATCTGCCTTGTTTTTGTTGAAAAAATTTTATTTAAAAAATCCACGCCTATTGGTGTAAAGATTCTGTATAAAATTTTATTTAAAAATCCACGCCTATTGATGTAAAGATTCTGTATAAAATTTTATTTAAAAATCCACGCCTATTGGTGTAAAGATTCTGTATAAAATTTTATTTAAAAATCCACGCCTATTGATGTAAAGATTCTGTATAAAATTTTATTTAAAAATCCACGCCTATTGGTGTAAAGATTGTGTATAAAATTTTATTTAAAAATCCACGCCTATTGGTGTAAAGATTGTGTATAAAATTTTATTTAAAAATCCACGCCTATTGGTGTAAAGATTGTGTATAAAATTTTATTTAAAAATCCACGCCTATTGGTGTAAAGATTGTGTATAAAATTTTATTTAAAAATCCACGCCTATTGGTGTAAAGATTGTGTATAAAATTTTATTTAAAAATCCACGCCTATTGGTGTAAAGATTCTGTATAAAATTTTATTTAAAAATCTAATTTGTATTAATTTATTTTTAAAAAATTCTTCAACTGTTAAATAAATCACGTGCAACTCTGTCTGAGAAGTCGTTGTTACAAAGACAGCACAAGGGTCGTGTTTACATCATTGCAAATGTGTAGCAATGCTGCCCCATTGAATAGAGTGTCACAAAGCAAAGCAAAACAAGACAAACAGAAACGATTTTTGGTTTACATAAAAATATAATTATTCTATTTAAATTAAATAAAGTTTGTTTTTGTTGTATTTATTAGTTATTAACTAATTTATTGATATAATAAATAAAAATTGAATAATTAAATATGCCCCTAATATGGCAACGCTGTATTTTGCCGGTATCATTTCATTTGTTTTGTTTATTACGTCTCTCCCCCCAAAACCTCTCATCCATTACTCACTGATCATCTGTCATATGTTTTGTCGGCGACAACAACACCAACAAAATCCCCCCAATTTCAATCATATGGTTATTGTTTTCATGTCTGTTTTTGCTGCTGCTCTGCCTGAAGACGAAGACAAAAAAGATTTAAAATTATTTTAATTTTTTGCGTGGAATGACGTTGTTGTGGCTGCTGTGTGTTTGAGAGAACGGGCAGGTAAAGGTGAATAGACGCGTGTGCCAATCAAGAAAAAAACAAGAAGAATAATTATTACAATTTGTTGTTGACAATTTTGATGTGTCACAAGAAGTGGCCAAGTGGACAATGGCTGCCAACGAGCAAATGAGTAAAGGTAAGTTCGAAAGCCTATGTGAAAATGCATTGAATTTTTATATAATTTTTGTTTTTTGTCTGGGCCATTTGGCCATTTTCACAGTTCCTAGTCTGTTGGGCAGGCGACCACAGAAAATTATCGAAAATCATTTGTTTCGCCGACAAAGAAGCATTAAACTGAGTGCCAAAGCAGCATCGGTGGATTATGGTGATGAGGATGCTGGAAACGATAAGGTATGTAGTAGAATAACTATGATGTGGGTGATGTGGATACGTATGTTCGGTTGAATGTGTGTTTCTTCAAAGTGTGTCACTTTTGGGTAAATGTAATATATGGCAGCTTCTAATATTTAATGCCACGTAATTTGGTGAAAACACAAGAAGTTGTTTTTAATGATATCAGAGGGAAGTTTGCGGTTAGAAATGGGTCAGCAGCAGAATAATAGAATTAAATGAAATTCAAATCTGAACGATATTATGAAAAATCAAACAAGTGCACCTGATATACCTATTCGTTTTAATATTTTCATATTATCTTCTAACAATTTGTTTTTTCATTTCTCTTCCAGACTTATGTTGTACTGATATTTGGTGAAAAAGCCAAATTAACTCATTGTGAAGATGTACGCAAGATAATACATCAATATGATATTAAGACGACTCTGGAAGTCATTAGCAAGGAGGAGAAATACCTTTACCTAACAGCATCCACCGATACCCTCCTACGTTTGGCCGATGAAGCAGAGCTAACAAAAATGACCGTAACTGGTAGTATGCAAAAATTTAATTATCATTCGATATCGGATTTTCTATTACCCGGTATGACAGAAGATGATATTGTGCGATTTTGTGAAGCTCCAGTGCTCATTAAAGATGTTGTTAAGCCACAGTTATTACCCTATATCCGTAATGGTATTGTTGAGGAATTGTTTCCCTTGCATGATATCGTAAGTAAATGACTATCTTCTTTTGAAAACAACTTTTTGAAATTAATATTTTTCCCATTTCAGGAATATTTGGAGAAATTTGGTTTTGATTGGCGTAGACGTACCCTGCCCATTGAACATATACGCAATTATTTTGGTGCCAGCATTGGCCTTTATTTTGCCTTCATTGAATTCTATACCAAGGCCTTGATATGGCCAGCCTTATTTGGCGTTTGCCAGTATTTGTGGAGTGTTAATTTATCGGCTGTTATTGGTTTCTATGTCATATGGTCAACGGTAAGAAAACTTACCGTTTCATAGTTTTTGAATTTTTTAAAAAATTTGTACTGAACCTTAAAAGGCCATTAGCCGTGGATTTTTTAAAGAAATTTCATTGAGCCCCAAAAGGCCATTAGACGTGGATATTTGAAAGAATTTTCATTGAGCCCCAAAAGTCCATTAGGCGTGGATTTTTTAAAGAATTTTTACTGAACTCTAAAAGGCCATTAAGCATGGATTTTTTAAAGAATTTTTACTGAACACTAAAAGGCCATTAGGCGCGGATTTTTTAAAGAATTTTTATTGAACCCTACAATGCCATTAGGCGTGGATTTTTTAAAGAATTTTTAATGAGCCACCAAAAGACCATTAGGCGTGGATTTTTTAAAGAATTTTTAATGAGCCACCAAAAGGCCATTAGGCGGTGATTTTTTAAAGAATTTTTAACGAGCCACCAAAAGGCCATTAGGCGTGGATTTTTTAAAGAATTTTTAATGAGCCACCAAAAGGCCATTAGGCGTGGATTTTTTAAAGAATTTTTTATGAGCCACCAAAAGGCCATTAGGCGTGAATTTTTTAAAGAATTTTTAATGAGCCACCAAAAGGCCATTAGGCGTGGATTTTTTAAAGAATTTTTAATAAGCCACCAAAAGGCCATTAGGCGTGAATGTTTTAAAGAATTTTTAATGAGCCATCAAAAGGCCATTAGGCGTGGATTTTTTAAAGAATTTTTAATGAGCCACCAAAAGGCCATTAGGCGTGGATTTTTTAAAGAATTTTTATTAAATACATTTTTCTTTTATTTCAGATCTTTTTGGAATTATGGAAACGTCGTTGTGCCGGTTTGGCCTATCGTTGGGGTACCATTGAAATGTCCAGTTTAGATAAACCCCGCACCCGCTATAAGGGCGAGGAGAAACTTGATCCTATCACAGGCAAATTGACTCGCCATTACCCTATGCGTTATACCTATATACAAATGTATTGTATTTCATATCCGGTGGTATTACTTTGTGTTGTGGCGGCAGCCTATTTTGCTCTCTATCAATTTCAAATTGAAGCTGAGGTATTGGCAGATTTTGGTCCCAATTCATGGTTGTTATACGTCCCCGTTATTATACAATCAATACTCATTGCAATATTCTCATGGGCCTATGAAAAATTAGCCACCTTCCTAACGGAATTGGAAAATCATCGAACCCGCCTGCAATATGAAAGGCATCGTGTTAATAAATTGATGATATTCGAAATTGTTAACAATTTCTTTTCGCTGTTCTACATTGCTTTTATTATACAAGATTTGAAACAGCTTAATTATCAGCTGATGATGCAGTTGCTGATATTTCAAGTAAGTTTTCAGAATTCCTTATTTATTTACAATATTATTAATATTGGTTTCTCCTTCCCCAGATTGTTTGCATTGCCCAAGAGGTGGGCATCCCTTTGTTGGCTGTCATAAAACAAAAATTTGCCAAACTAATGCACAAAGAATTGGATGAAGAGAAATTGTCGCTTGTCAGTGATGTGTCACGCTATGAGCAATGTTTCTTTGAAGCCGGTTTAGATCAATATCAATCTACCTATGAAGATTATCTCCAAATGTGCATACAATTCGGTTATGTTGTTCTATTTGCTGCTGTTGCACCATTTGCCGCCCTAGGAGCTTTGATCAATAATGTCTTTGCCATGCACATTGATTTGTTTAAGGTAAGTGGGAATTTGTTTTTTATTTTATTTTTGTAGATGATTTTAAATATTAATTGTTATTGAGAAATCCTTAGCTTTGTAACATATTTAAAAGACCATTTGCTCGTCGCACAAAAAATATTGGCGCTTGGCAGTCGGCATTTGAATTGTTATCTGTTATGGCCATTTTAAGCAATTGTGGACTATTGTATTTACTGCCCAATGTTAGGTAAGTCCAGAGGAATATTAATTGGACATGGGCTAATCAGAGATTTACATTTTATATTCAATTCATTACATCACATACCATTTATTTATTCCATTCAATAATACATAAGCCTCCAAGGCCATTCACAAAATAATTATATTTTCCATGATCTACATAAGGCGTGGATTTTTTAAATAATTTTTTCCAACATCTACATAACTTACTTAGCTGACTTGTTACAGAACTTTCGTTCCATAAGCCGATATTAAAAAAGATTTCCAGGCGCGTCGGCCTTTTGCGCAGTTTTTCTAATTTGAAAGACCATATTCGGCAATATTGTCTTCCACTTGGTATATCAATCTTATTCATGGCCTTCCCCTTCTGCGGGAACCATCAGCTGGTTCGCTTTTATATGCCTTCTGGGCTGATCTTGTGCCAGTTAAAGTTATCCTGCATAGCCGAAATAATTTCGCAGGAATGCCAAACGCAAACATGGCTTTATACACTTCTGAACGGATAGCGCTGTCGAATGCGGCTTTATAGTCGACGAATAAGTGGAATGTGTCGATGTGTTTTTCGTAGGTTTTTTCCAGAATTTGGCGCAGAGTGAAAAATCTGGTCAATGGTGGATTTGCCAGGCCGCATTGGTATGGTCCAATGATGTCATTGACTTCAGTCGTTCACACAGCACGCTGGATAGCACTTTATATGCGATGGGAAGGAGACTTATTCCTCTATAGTTGGCACATATCGTCTTGTCTCATTTTTTGCGCACAGGTGCTGAGGTTCCAATCATTAGGCATGCATTCTTCTAGCCAAATTCTATTAATAAGCTGGTGCATGCTCCTTACCAGCATCTGACCACCAGTCTTGAATAGTTCGGCTTGTAGCCCATCGGCACCTGTTGCTTTATTATTCTTCAGCCGATTGATAATAATAGGTCATCTATTATTGGTTCTTTGATATCCTCTTCACCACTACTATTTGATACCAGAAGTTTTTCGAAAAGTTCCCCCTACAGATCCTCAGCACGCTGTCTGTATCTGTCACCAGGTTGCCTTCTTCATCTCTACAGGAGTATGTGCCTGCACCAAAGCCTTCGGTTTGGTGTTTTACCCGTTGGTAGAATTTTCGGAGTTTATTCTGACTCCTGTACATATCGATTTGCTCACGCACACATTTTTCTTGTTCATTCTTCTTTTTTCTGAAAATACGTTTCTCCTCTCTCCCGATAGTTCTCCATCGCATTACGCGTTGCTACTCTCCGCAGGTTTGCCCTATACGCTGCGTTTTTCATATCAATAGCATTACGTGGTACGATCAGGAGTGTGATCGTACCACGGATTTCTTGATGGTGATCTTTGGTACCCAAGTTTTGCTTTTGCTGGAGTTTGTAGGGAGTGGGCAATGCTTCTATATTATTATATTACAAGGGGTGCTTTCGTCAAGCATTTGGGTAAGTTGAGCGGAGTAGGGTGTGTACCTTGGCTGCCACAAGGTAATGGTCTACATCGATATTCGCTCCTCGGATCGGTCGGACGTCTAAAACACTGGATGAATGCCTTCCGTCTTTCACAACATGATCGATTTGATTACTCGTTATTCGATCGGCAGAAATCGAGATGCTTGAATCTGGTGCTGCTAACTATCATGTTTTTTGCTGCCGCGAAGTCAATCAACCTCATGCCGTTGTCTAATGTTTCTTCATGGAGGCAGAATTTTCCGACGGTGAGGCCAAAGATATTTTCCCTTTCGATTTTTGCATTAAAATCTCCTAGCGGAATTTTAATGTCACGGCCATCTGTCTGTTCATCTTTATCGTCGGTCGGAGCATGGGCGCAGATGAGACTGATGTAGAGGAACTTCGCTTTTATACGGATTATAGCAATTCGCTCAACTACATAAGGCGTGGATTTTTTAAAAAAATAAATTTTCGAGACCTATCAAAAGGCGAGGTTATTTACATATTTTTTTCAACATCTATTTTCATTATCTCATCGTTAATCTCAATGTTTTTCTTCATCACTTCATTTCATCACTTCCATAATAAAATATTTCGAAATCTCTGAAAAGCTCAAATTTGTTCATCCATAAGATAGTGTTTATAATAAAAATTTTATATGCGTCTTTTAGAGCCTTCGTTGTCCAACATTTCCCCTCGATGCCAAATTTATCGTTTGTCCTTTTCGAACATTTGTTGTTGGGTTTGAAATTTGTGATACACAAGGCAATTCATGAACGTCCGCGATGGGTCCGCATTGCCCTAATGAAGGCTGACTATGAATCTAGTCAAGCTTACAAGAATATTAGGTATGTAATTCAAATACTATTTGAAATTAAAGGAAATAATTGAAAATATCTGTTTTGTTACAGGAAATTTACTAGCAACAAAAAAGTTGATTAACTTCAAGGCTCAACAAAATCTGTTCTACTTTTCTCTTCAGAATCTTAAACATAATTTTTGAATCTCCCTTTGTTGTGATGTTTTAAATTTAAATTTAACTCAGTGTTTTGTGTTCTTCGACTTCTCCGTTATACCTCATAGTAGTATTGTGTCCAAATGTTATTAAAACAATGCAGTGCAGTATGGTTATAAGGATGGGCGAGTTATGATGATGTATTTAAAAAAATCATGGAATTGTATGATGGAACCTCTTCCTTGTAACCATATCTGCCTGTACCTATAGTGATACCAAAATAAGTGGCCTTAAAAATGTCCTTAAACACATACATACTCACAAGAATGATACGTAAATAATTACTCAGACTTAATTTATTTGTTTTTTGAACTTAACGATATACAAACATAAATATATTTATATGTTTTTTTTATATATGAAAAATAATAACTTAAATACTAAATATGGTGGTGTTTTTTCTTAGCTTATAACATAACGTCTTCCAAAAAATCTATATTAGGTTTAGTTGGTCCATAAGTCTGTGATTTATTAGTGAGATCTCCATCGCTCTCAAATGTGAATCCACAATTGAAGTCCTTTTATATAAATAAGGACCCATATATAATACAGGGAAGATCATTGGTTGACAAAGAGTTAATGACAAACTGGATTGCAGGTTTCCTTAGGTTTGTTGAATTATTTCGTCCTTATTACCGATAACCTTTGTAATGTCTAAAGGCCAAATAACCATCGATGGCATGTAATATACCTCCGGCATAACCAATGTACTGGAAATATTTGAAAATAAAAATTAGTACAGTTTTCAAATATTATTATTTCAAGCTCTTCACTTACATATGCCGCTGTCATAGCTGGATATGCCCAAAATCCGGGTTTTATTAGAAATTGTGGATGTAACCAAACCACACAAGCAAATCCCATATAACTCGAAGCACTGAAATACATACTGCAGGCAACGGCATTGAATAAAACTTCCTGAAATAAAAATATATACAAAATATAAAAGTCCTTTAGAAAATGCCTTTAAAAAATCCACGCCTTTTGGCCTTTCAGTCCTTTAGAAAATTTCTTTAAAAAATCCACGCCTTTTGGCCTTTCAGTCCTTTAGAAAATTTCTTTAAAAAATCCACGCCTTTTCGCCATTCAGTCCTTTAGAAAATTCCTTTAAAAAATCCACGCCTTTTGGTCTTTTAGTCCTTTAGAAAAATTTCTTTAAAAAATCGACGCCTTTTGGTTTTTTAGTCCCTTAGAAAATTTCTTTAAAAAATCCACGCCTTTTGGTCTTTTAGTCCTTTAGAACATTTTTTTAATAAATCCACGCCTTTTGGTCTTTTAGTCCTTTAGAACATTTTTTTAATAAATCCACGCCTTTTGGTCTTTTAGTCCTTTAGAAAATTTCTTTAAAAAATCCACGCCTTTCGGTCTTTTAGTCCTTGAGAAAAATTCTTTAAAAAATCCACGCCTTTTGGTTTTTTAGTTCTTTTAGAAAATTTCTTTAAAAAATCCACGCTTTTTGGTCTTTTAGTCCTTTAGAAAATTTCTTTAAAAAATCCACGCCTTTTGGAAAATTTTTTAAAAAAAAATCCACGCCTTTTGGTCTTTTAGTCCTTTAGAAAATTTCTTTAAAAAATCCACGCCTTTTGGTCTTTTAGTCCTTGAGAAAAATTCTTTAAAAAATCCACGCCTTTTGGTCTTTTAGTCCTTGAGAAAAATTCTTTAAAAAATCCACGCCTTTTGGTCTTTTAGTCCTTGAGAAAAATTCTTTAAAAAATCCACGCCTTTTGGTCTTTTAACCCTTGAGAAAAAATCTTTAAAAAATCCACGCCTTTTGGTCTTTAAGTCCTTTAGAAAAATTCTTTAAAAAATCCACGCCTTTTGGTCTTTTAGTCCTTGAGAAAATTTCTTTAAAAAATCCACGCCTAATAGTATTCTTGTCCTTGAGAAAAATTCTTTAAAAAAAAGTTTAATTCTTTTATCAATTGGTGCACGAATTACAAAATTTTACGAAAATTAATTTTTTTAATTTAAATAAATTTTAATTTTTTCCAGCAATTTAAATTTTAAATCCAGTATTTTCTTTCAATCTTGGCGTATTTGCATTTAAAGTTAAACAAACAACGAAGAATAATTTCTGTATAAAAACTTACAAATAATGATTGGCGTATCAGACCATACGATTTATCCGAGAAAGCAATAACAGGCCAATAAAATCGCCGTTGTCGTGAAACAATACGATGTTGTTGTTAGAAATCCCGTCAAAGCTTGACCAATAGAATCGGCAGCCGGTATTCCATATTTAATGAGTAGACCTTCACACAGCGATGCCAAACCCAATTGGACGATTTTCAAAAGACCCGCTTTTGAGGTAATAAAACCGAAATTTATGCAGGTGCACACGCGACAGCAACAGATTTTAATGCCAAAATTCTGGCTCATGCCACGAACACCAAATGATGACATTTTTTCAGAATACTAATATATTTTAAATTACAACCCGCACTATTTTGAGATCCTTTGTTATCAATGGAACAATTACAACTGATGTACAAGGGCGCGTTTGGAAAACAATGGAACTCCAGCGTATTTCTTCTTTTATAAAAATAGACACACACACACATCTTCCGTTGTTTTGAATTTTTATTTTTGGCATTTGAAGATCTTTACAAGAAAAAGACCCCCTTTCGACAACTCAAGTGCGTGTATGCGAACATGACCTAAACGCATAGTTGCCGACACAAACGTAAACACGTGTGTCCCAACGCCTGCTTAGCATAGCCATTTAATGTATGACAGGATATTCCGTAAAAAAAAACATAGAAGAATATTTTTTTCAAGAACATATGGTGTTTGATTTTATTGAGAGCAGAAATGACCAGAGTACACTGAGAGAAATGTGAAATAGAAAATAAATAGGGTTTGAGTTTCAGCAATAAAAGACCACTAGGCTTGGGTTTTTTTCTTGTTTTGAGTTTCAGCAATTTTCTGAAGGAATAAAAGACCATTAGGCGTGGATTTTTTAAACTATTTTTTTCAAAGACTAAAAGACCATTAAGCGTGGATTTTTAAAGATTTTTTCTAAAGGACCACTTGACTTGGATTTCTTAAAGAATTTTTGAAAAAATATTCTTTAAAAAATCCACGCCCATTGTAACCCTTGAAAACATATTCTTTAAAAATTCACACCTACAGCTTACTAACTTATTTAGCTGGCTTGTGACAGAACTTTCGTTCCATAAGCCAAGCTTAAAAAAGATTTCCAGGCGCGTCGGTCTTTTGCTGAGTTCTTCAAATTTGAAAGACAATTTTCGGCAATGCTGTCTTCGACTTGATCTTTCCATCGTATTCGTGGCCTTCCGCTTCTGTGTAAACCATCAGCTGGTTCGCTTTTATATGCCTTCTGGGCTGGGGCATCTTCACTCATTCTCGCAACATGACCTAGCCACATAGTCGCTGCAGCTAAATACGTCTAACAATGTCGATGTCCGAGAATAGCTGGTACAACTCATGGCCATATTCACCATCAGATCTTTCGGAGAATTTTCCTCTCAAACACTCCAAGAGCTGTCTCATCTGCTTGCGTAAGTACCCATGCTTCAGATTAATATAACAGCACGGGTAGTATCAGCGTCTTGTAGAGAGTGAGTTTGGTCTGGCTGAAGGTGGCCTTGTTTTTTAGTTGTTTGCTCAGACCATCCTTCTCCGAATTCCAGAACTGATGTCATTCGTTTTATTATTGGGATACCAAGGTATATAAAATCTTTGACTATCTCGAAGCTGTAGTTCTCAAGTTCCACAGATGGTCCGAGTCTACTGGACGTCTTGCGCGTTGATCACCATCATCTTGGTCTTCTCGCCGTTTACTGCCAGACCCACTTTGGCAGACTCCTTCTCGATTTGTTCAAAGGTGGCTGTTACCGCTCTCAATGTCCGACCCATTATGTCGATGTCATCGGCGTAGGCGAGTAACATGTGTTTGTTTGCCATTTCTGTTCACTTTTGCCTCTTGTATGACCATTTCCAGCAGGGTGTTGCTCCGAGAGGTCCTTTTCGACTTTAACTGCTGATCTTGTGTCTGTTAAAGTCATCCTGCATAGCCGAATTAATTTCGCAGGAATGCCAAACGTTGACGAATAGGTGGTATGTTTCGATGAGTTTTTCGTGGGTTTTTCCAGGATTTGGCGCAGAGTGAAAATCTGCTCAATTGTGGATTTGCCAGGTCTGAAGCAACATTGGTATGGTCCAATAATGTCATTGATCATTGGCTTCAGTCGTTCACACAGCGCGCTGGATAGCACTTTATATGCGATGGGAAGGAGACTTATTCCTCTATAGTTGGCACATATCGTCTTGTCTCCTTTTTTGTGCACGGGCCACAGAATGCTGAGGTTTCAATCATTGGACATGCATTCTTCTAGCCAAATTGTACTAATCAGATGGTACATGCTCCTTACCAGCATCTGACCACCAGTCTTGAATAGTTCGGCTTATAACTTCATCTTGGCTGATTGTTTACTCTCTATACCGTCATCTATTTTTGATTCTGGGGTATCCTCTTCACCGCTTCTATTTGATACGAGAAGTTTTTCCAGATCCTCAGCACGCTGTCAGTATTTGTCACCTGGTTTCCTTCTTTATCTCTACAGGAGGATGTGCCTCCACCAAAGCCTTCGGTTTGGTGTTTTATCCGTTGGTAAAATTTTCGGACTTCATTCTGACTCTTGTACATCTCGATTTGCTCACGCTCACGTTTTTCTTGCTCTTTCTTCTTTTTTCTGAAAACACGTTTCTCCTCTCACCTTTTCTCCCGATAGTTCTCCATCGCATTAGGTGTTGCTACTGTCCGCAGGGTTGCCCTATACGCTGCGTTTTTCATATCAGTAGCATTAGACACTCCTGATCGTACCACGGATTTCTTAATGGTGGTCTTTGGTACCCAAGTGTTGTTTTTGCTGCAGTTTGTAGGGAGTGGGCAATTCTCTGCCATTGTGTTTCTATATTATTATCGTGACAAGGGGTGCTTTCGTCAAGCAGTTGGGTAAGTTGAGCGGAGTAGGCTTCAGCTATCCTATTGTTACCCTTGAACAAATATTCTTTAAAAAATCTACGCCTTTGGTAGCCCTTGAAAAATTATTCTTTAATTTAATTAAGATGTCTATAAGTCATAATTAAAATAATTGCCCATCGAACTCGTGTATCGATATATTATAGGCAATTTTATAATAGCCTAAGGGTCCACTTACCTGATTTTTTTTGAATAACAAATATTTCGTGTAATGTCATGTCCAATTAATTTCATTACGAATTGATTTATATTGATAAAAGTTAAAATAATTGTTTTTCACACTGTCGCGCTGACTGCTGAGAGAATTTTTGTGAAGAAACAATTAATTAAGTTTTAGAATTTCTTAATTGGTATTACGACGACGACGATGACAACGATGCACATATGTATATGTATGTCGCCCGGTGTCGTGTTATTCTTTTGTTTTTCTACGATTACCTTGATAACTGAGAGAAACTTTCCATTAGAAATTATTTTGTAATAGATAAAATATATTTACTTAACACGAACGTTGGGCGCCACTTTTTCTCAAAGCAATGCAGTTTCTTGTGTAATTTGAATTTTTTGAAAATTTAATAATTTCTATTCGAAGCATTATTTTATATGCAATAAGGGCTGTATTTATCGTATGTCGGATTCCTTCCTTTATGATTTTTTTTTCCAATTTATATACCGATCTTATTCTTAAAACGCATTTTCAAAATATTATTCTTTGGAAATAAGGATTTCATCATACTACAATTAATTGTAATTCTTTTCTTTAATTTGAGTTAAGTTGAATTCTGTATTAGTTAATACCGTACCTTATAATTAGATGCGTTTTTAGTTGGACATTTGTTTTGTAACCAAGAATAGTGTATTTTCGCAATTCGGCGTCGAGTTCTAGGAGTAGATTTAAAATATTTTTGTAAGGTACAGTTGTAGCCATGAATTAAAAAAAAAATTGAGGGTGGCGTAGGGGATGATAGATACCAAGCAACGGCTCTGATTGGATTTAACATGACGAAGCCCAGACCTATCTTGGTCCCTCTTTCATCTCAATTGAGGACACTGACCTCCCCGCGGTGTCACCTGGGGTAACTATTTCCATCATCCGTTGAAATAGTGAGCGGATATGTGCCCCGATTTCACCAATAAGAACTATAAAAAATGGGTTGAGGTGTCGGGTTAGTTGCCCACAATCGGAAAAAAATAATACTATGAAAACTCAACGAAAAAGAAAACCAAACACCCTAATGTTGACGTCCCCCTCAAACGTATAAAGGAATACGATCTGCGAATCTTAAATTGGAATGTGCGCACTTTGTACAGAACAGGTGCAGTTTTCGCTTTGGCAGATGTACTCAAGGAGTACAAAGCCGATATTATTGCCTTTCAGGAAATGCGATGGAAAGGGACTGGCGTAAATAAATCAGAAGATTACGACCTGTATTATAGCTGCTATGAAACGAGACAAGCATTTGGCTGCGGATTTATGGTTAACAGGAGAATAAAAGACCTCGTCCCCACATTCACTCCAGTAGATGAGCCAATTCCTATAATCCGTATAAAAGCGATCTTCTTCTACATCAGTCTCATTTGCGCCCATGCTCCGACCGAAGGCGAAGATGAACAGACCAAAGCAGTGTTGGGCAAAAATAAATTGAGAACAAGTGTGTGCGAGCGTAACTGAGAATCCACCATTAAACACGACTGACGTTAAGAGAAAGAAAGAGAACATGTGTTTACCCATCGACCCTCAGTTACGGTAGCGTATATGGATGAGCATGCCTGGACCAAAGACATATTTTACGAGCGCCTAGAAACTGCATATGACAGCTGCCCTGGCCATGACATTAAAATTCTGCGAGGAGATTTTAATGCAAAAATCGGAAGGAAAAGTATTTTTGGTCCCACTGTCGGAAAATTCAGCCTCCGAAAACATCCGACAACCGCACGAGGTTGATTAAGTTCGCGGCAACAAAAAACATGTAGTTAGCAGCACCAGATTCAAGTATCTCGATATACACAAGGCCACCTGGATTTCTCCTGATCAAGCAACGAGAAATCAAATTGATCATATTGTGATAGACGGAAGGCATTCGTCCAGTGTTTTAGATGTTCGATCGATACGAGGAGCGAATATCGATTCGGACATTACCTTATGGCAGCCAAGGTTCGCATCCGCCTTAATGTAGCAGCAAAGATGCGATCTAATGTAACACGGAAACTCGACGTCGAAAAGCTGCAAACACAACAGATAGCAGAAGCCTACTCCTCTCAACTTACCCAACTGTTTGAGGAAAGCACCCTTTGTCCCGATAATAATAAAGAAGCACAGTGGAAGAGAAACAAACAAAACCTACAAACTGCAGCAAAAGCAACACTTGGGTACCAAAGACCAACATCAAGAAACCCGTGGTATGATTAGGAGTGTCGTAATGCTACTGATATGAAAAACGCAGCGTATAGGGCAACCCTGCGGACAGTAGCAACACGTAATGCGATGGAGAACTATCGGGAGAAAAGGTGAGAAGAGAAACGTTTTTCAGAAAAAAGAAGAAAGAGCAAGAAAAACGTGAGCGTGAGCAAATCGAGATGCACAGGAGTATACCAAACCGAAGGTTTTGGTGTAGGCACATCCTCCTGTAAAGATGATGAAGGAAACTTGGTGACAGATACAGACAGCTTGTTGAGGATCTGGAAGGAGCATTTTGAAAAGCTTCTGGGATCAAATAGTGCTTGTGAAGAAGATACGCCAGAACCAATAAGAGATGAGGGTATAGAGTGTATACCACCTAGTCATGATGATGTCATAATAGCAATCAACCGGCTGAATAATAATAAAGCAGCAGGTGCTGATGGGTTGCCAGCCGAACTATTCAAGACTGGTGGTCAGATGCTGGTCAGAAGCATGCATCATCTGATTAGAACAATTTGGCTAGAGGAAAGAATGCTCAATGCTTGAAAGCCAATGGTCAATGACATTATTGGATTATACCAATGCGGCTTCAAACCTGGCAAGTCCACCATTGACCAGATTTTCACTTTGCGCCAAATCATGGAAAAATCCACGAAAAACACATCGACACATTCCACCTATTCGGCGACTATAAAGCCGCATTCGATAGCCCTATACGTTCAGAGGTGTTTAAAGCCATGTTTGTGTTTGACATTCCTGCAAAATTAATTCGGCTATGCAGGATAACTCTAGCTGGCACAAGATCAGCAGTTGAAGTCGGAAAGGACCTCTCGGGGCGCTTTAATACCGAACGAGGATTCAGACAAGGTGACAGTTTGTCGTGTGACCTTTTTAACATCCTTCTGGAAAAGGTCATTCGAGAGGCAAAGGTGAACAGAAATAGCACTCTATGCACCAAAAACATGTTACTCGCCTACGCCGATGTCATCGACATAATTGGTCGAACATTGAGAGCGGTAACAGTCACCTTTGAACAAATTGAGAAGGCGAAAAGACCAAGCTGATGGTTTCAACGCTCAGGACGTCCAGTAGACTCGGACCAACTGTAGAACTTGAAAACTACAGCTTTGAGATAGTTAAAGATTTTATATACCTTGGTACTGCCATAAATAATACTATTGACATCGGGGATAGTATTGGCCAACAGATGCTACTACGGTCTGAGTAAGCAACTCATAAGCTAGACCAAACTCACACTCTACAAGACGCTGATACTACCCGTGCTATTACATGATCTGAAGCATGGGTACTTACGCAAGCAGATGAGGCAGCTCTTGGAGTGTTTGAGAGAAAAATTCTCCGAATGATCTATGAGCCGATCTGCGTTGACGGTGAATATCGCCGTCGAATGAACCATGAGCTGTACCAGCTATTCTCAGACATCGACATTGTTAGACGTATTGAGCTGCAGCCACTACGTTGACTAGGTCATGTTGTGAGAATGAATGAAGATGCCCCAGCCCAGAAGGCATATAAAAGCGAACCAGCTGATGGTTTACGCAGAAGGGAAAGACCACGAATAAGATGGAAAATATCAAGTGGAGGACAACATTGCCGAATATGATCTTTCAAACTGGAAAAACTGCGCAAAAGACCGACGCGCCTGGAAATATTTTCTAAGCTCGGCTTATGGAACGAAAGTTCTGTCACAAGCCAGCTAAGTAAAGTAAGTACAAAGGTGTGGATTTTTTAAAGTAGATTTTTCCAAGTTTGATAATTTAAAATGTATACTGTATCCCAATATTCGTTGCCAACATTTAATTGTTTCAAACCGTTAAGTGACCAATTACAATGTTGTTGTATTGTTTGTTTTTGTTATCAAACTCTCACGAATCTGTATTAAAAATTCTTCTCCATTATAAAACGTTAGAATTATTTATTAAATTACAAAAACAAAACAAAAATTATAAAATATTATTATTACGAGACTACTGACTGACTTACTGACTTCACATGTGAGCTGTGGCGGTGATGACGATGGTGTCGACGTCGTTCACAACATTTGCCAATTAATGTTATGAATTGAAAATTGAACAACAACAACAAAAAATGAAAATTACGTTAGAATCGATGTGTGCAATTATAAATTACTACTATTACGTTATTATTATTAATATTATTACAATCATTATTGTTGTAGTTGTTAGTGGCGTTTATAATGAACGCTGGTGCCTATCACGTTTGTTGAGATAGTTTCATTGGAGCATCTTCTTAACTTGGAATGATTGATTGAGTGTGTTTATTTTTAATTTGATATAAAATTAGGAATTATCTGGAATTTTGTAATATTCACGAAATTTATGGAATTTCTGGAGAATAATGAAATATTATTATCTATTTTTTCGACTCATCATCTGACTATTATTCGCTAAAACACACTATCGTTCCATTTTTGGCTGGCACATATTTCCGTTATCGATATTTAACCAAAAAGCTGAAAGTATACACAACTCTTGTGGACATGGAAATTTAGCAAAAAAAAATTGGTAATTATGAGTATTTCTTCGAATAAATAGATATTTGGGGGATATATAACAATTTTAAAATTGCCTGAAAGTATGCAATATTATTTTTCGTGAATGCCTTTTAATTACTGAATAAGAGTTTTTAAAATCAATGCATATTAAAAAACATTGCAATACAATTTTTTTATTGGTCTGGTGTTTTTTAAAAACCTAACTTATTGTCCATGAAAAATAATATCTTTAAGAAATCCATGCCTTTATAGGTCTCCGAAAATATTCTATAAGAAATCCTTGCCTTTGAAAATCTTCGAACAATTTTCTTTTAAAAATCCATCCTTTTATAGGTCTTCGAAAAATATTCTTTTAAAAATCCATGCCTTTATAGTTTTTTCGAAAAATATTCCTTAAGAAAATCAAGGCCTTTATATGTCTCCGAAAAATACTTCTTAAGAAATACATGCCATTATAGGTCTCCGACAAACATTCTATAAGAAAAGCGTGCCTTTATAAGTCTCCGAAAAATATTCTTAATAAATCCATGCCTTTATAGATCTCCGAAAAATATTCCCTAAGATATCCATGGCTTTACAGGTGTCCAAAAATAATGCTGGAATATTTTTCTCAAGGACTACCTGCCAATAGACGTGTATTTTTTAAAGAATTTTTCTCAAGGACGATAAGGCCAACAGGCGTGGATTTTTTAAAGAATTTTTCTCAAGGTCTGGAAAGGCCAACAGGCGTGGATTTTTTAAAGAATTTTTCTCAAGGTCTGGAAAGGCCAACAGGCGTGGATTTTTTAAAGAATTTTTCTCAAGGTCTGGAAAGGCCAACAGGCGTGGATTTTTTAAAGAATTTTTCTCATGGTCTGGAAAGGCCAATAGGGGTGGTTTTTAAAGAAATTTTCTCAAGGTCTGGAAAGGCCAACAGGCGTGGATTTTTTAAAGAATTTTTCTCATGGTCTGGAAAGGCCAATAGGCTTGGATTTTTAAATAATTTTTCTAAAGGTCTGGAAAGACCAATAGGCTTGGATTTTTAAATAATTTTTCTCAAGGTCTGAAAAGACCAATAGGCTTAGATTTTTAAATAATTTTTCTAAAGGTCTGGAAAGCCCAATAGGCTTGGATTTTTAAATAATTTTTCTCAAGGTCTGGAAAGACCAATAGGGTTGAATTTGTTAAAGAATTTTTCTAATCTACAGTAAGAGGGTATAAAAATAAAATATATTCTTTCAACAAAACTACGCAACATCTTTAGTAGTTGACAGGTATTTGTTGTTGTTTTGTAATGTTTGTAATTTATGAGAATTATATTTCAATTGGATCTCATCCATATGTAACAAGTCAACTTAGTGTCATAATAAGCCATAATTATTGCCAATTGATTTACAGTTAAGATAGAAAAAACTTGCATAATTTACAAAACGAATATTCGAGTCAATCAAATGGAACCAGAGGCAGCAGGCGACCAGCCATAACATTTGAATAGAATTGCAATTTTTTTTTCAAAAACACGACATGTTTATGACGAAAATACGTCAGTTTGTAATTTCAATTTTTTTAATAGGTTTTTAGGCTTAAAGGCCTATTTCCGCTTACGGCGACAATAGACAGATATTGCGCATCAGTTCTCATTACATCTCAGTATTACATTACGTTATGGATGAGTAGTTTTTTCGCTCTTTTTGAAATAAATACAGGAAAGATTATATGGCATTTTAATTTTCCGGTAAAATAGAACTTCGGGGTCTTCTGATGGGAAATGATCTGGAAAATAATTACACATATTTTAATTTTTTTTTCTAGAAAATAATAATATGGTTGCCAATACCTTTCTTCGGGTGCCATAAATATGAAACAAATCAGGGCATTTATGAAATGTAAAATTCCCGCAATTAAACTTAGTAATGAAACACTCTTGATGATCGGAATAGCAGAATTACCACAATCCTCAATGACATAGATATAAATTATGGACCAAAGTTGCAAAATACCCACAATGAAATTATAGCTAATAGCCTGAAAGGAAATTAAAGAAATTAAAAAATTAAGTCATTCACTTCTTACCCCTGGATCTGCACCAAAATTGCTCGTCTTCATGAACATTGCCACTCCAATACATCCAACGAAGCCCATATCGGGTATCAGTGACAGCATTATCAGCATTAAATGTGAACCGACTTTATCGGTTATCTCCCATCCGGCAATACAATGCGAATCGAATTGGCTGTAGAGGGTGTTGATGTCCCAAATTTTTAAACTCTAAAAATGGAGAATTATATCGGTTGTCTGAATCTTAAATTTGTTATCCACTTACTGCTGTTCCGATAAAGCAAACTAAACTGATACCTTTTGTCACAATGTAGGGCAAGGAAGGCCATTTCAGAGGCATTTTTGAAGTTCAATAAATAATTACTTTTTTTGACATTACAAAAAAGGAACACAAATTATAAACAAAGACAGTAAAAACTCTACAAAAGAATTTTTCTGAGGCCTGAAAACAACAATAGGCGTGGATTTTTTAAAGAGGCCTGAAAATTCTTTCTTTAAAAAATCCACGTCTATTGATGTTTTCAGGCCTCAGAAAAATTCTTTAAAACATCTACGCCTATTCGTGAAAATTTTTTCTTTAAAAAATCCACGCCTATTGATGTTTTCAGGCCTCAGAAAAATTCTTTAAAACATCCACGCCTATTCGAGTTTTGAGGCCTCAGAAAATTTCTGTAAAATATCCACGCCTATTGGTGTTTTCAGGCCTCAGAAAAATTCTCTAAAAAATCCAGCCTCTAGGCCTTTCCAGACCTTGAGAACAATTCTGTAAAAAATCCACTCCTATTGGCGTTTTCAGGCCTCAGAAAAATTCTCTAAAAAAAAGCACGCCTCTAGGCCTTTCCAGACCTTGAGAAAAATTCTCTAAAAAATCCTCTCCTATTGGTGTTTTCAGGCCTTAGAAAAATTCTCTAAAAAATCCACGCCTCTAGGCCTTTCCAGACCTTGAGACATTTCTGTAAAAAATCCACGCCTCTTGGCCTTTCCAGACCTTGAGAAAAATTCTTTAAAAAATCCACGCCTCTTGGCCTTTCCAGACCTTGAGAAAAAATCTTTAAAAAATCCACGCCTATTGGTCTTTTCAGGCCTCAGAAAAATTCTTTAAAAAATTCACGACTATTGGTCTTTTGATGCCTTAGAAAAATTCTGTAAAAAATCCACGCCTATTGGTCTTTTGATGCCTTAGAAAAATTCTCTAAAAAATCCAGCCTCTAGGCCTTTCCAGACCTTGAGAACAATTCTGTAAAAAATCCACTCCTATTGGTGTTTTCAGGCCTCAGAAAAATTCTCTAAAAAAAAGCACGCCTCTAGGCCTTTCCAGACCTTGAGAAAATTCTCTAAAAAATCCACTCCTATTGATGTTTTCAGGTCTCAGAAAAATTGTCTAAAAAATCCACTCCTATTGATGTTTTCAGGTCTCAGAAAAATTCTCTAAAAAATCCACGCCTCTAGGCCTTTCCAGACCTTGAGACATTTCTGTAAAAAATCCACGCCTCTTGGCCTTTCCAGACCTTGAGGAAAATTCTTTAAAAAATCCACGCCTCTTGGCCTTTCCAGAGCTTGAGAAAAAATCTTTAAAAGATCCACGCCTATTGGCCTTATAGACCTCGAGAAAAAATCTTTAAAAAATCCACGCCTATTGGTCTTTTCAGGCCTTAGAAAAATTCTGTAAAAAATCCACGCCTATTGGTCTTTTGATGCCTTAGAAAAATTCTTTAAAAAATTCACGCCTATTGGTCTTTTCAGGCCTTAGAAAAATTCTGTAAAAAATCCACGCCTATTGGTCTTTTGATGCCTTAGAAAAATTCTTTAAAAAATTCACGCCTATTGGTCTTTTGATGCCTTAGAAAAATTCTGTAAAAAATCCACGCCTATTGGTCTTTTGATGCCTTAGAAAAATTCTTTAAAAAATCCACGCCTATTGGCCTTTCCATACCTTGAAAAATTCTTTAAAAAATCCACGCCTCTTATTTTTTTTTTCTATTTCGAAACACTGTGTTATGATTCTGATCAACCGAATATCTAAGGAAAGGAATGAATAGCGGTTTCGCTTCAACGGCAATTGCGCCGTTTCACAAGCCATTCAGCGAACGAAAAGCAGTTAGGAGGTATTACAAAATATTTGAATGGAGATGAAACCGACACACAAATTTAATTACAACATCTATCGTATGTAATAATATTCAAACGATACGATCGATTTAAGTGATGATGATTTTTGTTGCCGGTATTTTTATGGGGTAGAATTGTTTGAGTGAGTGTGAGTGTTCATTCTATTGTTTGCATTCAAAATGCTCGAAACAATTTGTCCGATTTTTCAAATCGCTTAGTTTTATGAGTTTTTTCATATAAATGAGAGATTGCTGAGTGGTTGGCTGTTTGATGGGTGGTCGATCGGCCGGCCAATAATCCATTGAATTTATTTTTAATGAAATATATAAAAATAGAAATTAAAAAAAAAACAACAGCGACGCCAGTAATTGATGCATAAACTTCACCATCATTAGATGTGTTAATTTAATTCAATAAAAACAAAATTGAATTAAATTAATATTCAAAAAAAAAAAAAAAAAAAATATTACAACATTTAATGTGCAGTGGTGTAATGCATGGGGAGATAATTATGATGATGATGAGCATCATCATCGGTATCATCGTCATGATGATCATAATCACGATTATCATGATTTAATAGTCACTCGATACAGTGACTATTGTTTCGACGTTTCGAAGTTTGCATAAATAACTCTTTTTCTATATTTTTGGTATGCGAAACGAAGACGACACTAAACGATTAGCGATGTTTGATTTTACTCGCTCACGATTTATGCACGTGACAATGACATTTAATATACAACAAAAACAACAATAGCTTGTATGACTAGTTGTAGTAGTTGTTATTTTTTTTTATCGCAAAGTTTCGATCTACTGTTAAATGAAATTTAAGCTTTTGAAATTTTTTTTTGGATTTTTTAAAGAATGTATTATCTCAAGGTCTGGAAAGGCCAAGAGGCGTGGATTTTTTTAAAGAATTTTTCTAAAAGACTATCACAGCAATAGGCGTGGATCCTTTAAAGAATTTTTCTCAAGGACTATTACAGCAATAGGCGTGGATTTCTTAAAAAAAATTTCTCAAGGACTATCACAGCAATAGGCGTGGATTTTTTTAAGAATTTTTCTCAAGGACTATCACGGCAATAGGCGTGGATTTTTTTAAAGATTTTTTCTCAAGGACTATCACAGCAATAGGCGTGGATTTTTTAAAGATTTTTTCTCAAGGACTATCACAGCAATAGGCGTGGATTTTTTAAAGATTTTTTCTCAAGGACTATCACAGCAATAGGCGTTTTTTTAAAGGAATTTTCTGAGGCCTGATAAGACCAATAGGCGTGGATTTTTTTAAAGAAATTTTCTGAGGCCTGATAAGACCAATAGGCGTGGATTATTTTAAAGAAATTTTCTGAGGCCTCAAAAGACCAATAGGCGTGGATTTTTTTTTAAGAATTTTTCTGAGGCCCCAAAAGACCAATGGGCGTGGATTTTTTTAAGAATTTTTCTGAGGCCTCAAAAGACCAATGGGCGTGGATTTTTTTAAGAATTTTTCTGAGGCCTCAAAAGACCAATGGGCGTGGAATTTTTTTTAGAATTTTTCTGAGGCCTCAAAAGACCAATTGGCGCGAATTTTTTAAAGAATATTTTTTTAAGTAATACAAGAGGCGCGATTTTTTTAAGAATATTTTTTCAAGCATCAGAAAAGGCGTGGATTTTTTAAAGAATATTTTCGTGACACCCTCATAAACATTCCTTCACCAGCTATATATTATAATGAAAATTTATTATTTGTTTATATTAAAATACATTTTATAAGGTTGAATCGAACATCCCGTCATACCAGGCAGATGACGAAAGTGATTCACAACAAACAAAATCACTTTCATTTTATACACTCAAAGAAAAAAAAAAAACAAATATATAATTAAATTATGTTTTCCTCCACATTACACAAATGTTGGCCCACCATCAACATTCGAAAGGAAAGAAAAAAAAATAATAACAAACAAAATATTAACCCTCAATTTGTTAGGAGAGTTCAGCAGGGATCACTGATTTAATAATGCGGTACATTCCACGCCGTTTGTAAGCCTTGAAAAAATATTCCTAAACCAGTAAGGAAAGTAATAAAGTCAGACTGGGCCGACTATATGATACCCTTTACCACTTTGAGTATATTCTACATATGTATCCTAACAGACATCGCCTTTTCAAAGGAGCATTGACATTAAATTGAACGAACTTAAATCTTAATCTAACCCGATTTTCTCGAATCTTAACACACGAGCTATGGTTGGGACAGATTTCCATCTTAAAGGCACGAAAATCTCCATGAACCTGCAGAACAACAGCAACAAGTGTAAATACAAATACAGAAAAAACCACAAAATTTCTGTAAATACACTTGTCATGAGCGAACAAGTATATAAAAGAGGTTGTTAGAAATACTTCAACGTATAAAACATTCAATTATAGTAACTTCAGTACATTGTACAAAATTGTCTTCCGGTCGCCCAAACTTTTCCATTAAATCGGACGAAAATAAATATATGGGAGCTAAATCTGAACCGATTTTTATGAAACTTAACACACATCCTACACTACCCTATGCCAAATTCCATGCAAATCGAAAGATATATAGTGACTTAGGAGCCCTATTTACCTTAAATCGGACGAAAATATATATGAGTGCTATATATAAATCTGAACCGATTTTCTGGAAATTAGGCACACGTTATTCTAGACTCAATTGAGTACACCAAGCCAAATTTCGTACAAATCGAAAGATATATGGGGACTTTGGTGCCCCATTTACCTTAAATCGGACGAAAATATATATAGGAGCTAAATCTAAATCTAAACCGATTTTCTCAAAACTTGGCACACATCATTCTAGACACAATTCAGAACGCTATGCCAAATTTCATGCAAATCGAAAGATATATAGGGACTTTTGTGACCCATTTGCCTTAAATCGGACGAAACTATATACGGGAGCTATATCTAAATCTGAGTAAACCATGCAAAATTTCGCGCATATCTTTGGTGAACCATTTACATAAAATCGGACAAAATTATATATGCGAGCTATATCTAAATCTGAACCGATTTTCTCAAAACTTATCACATATCATTCTGGACTTAATTCAGTACCCTATACTGTGCCCCATTTACCTTAAATCGGACGAAAATATATATAGGGGCTATATCTAAATCTGAACCTATGCCAAATTTCATGCAAGTCGAAAGATATGTAGGGACTTTGGTGCCCCATTTACTTTAATCGGACGA